TACCATACCATACCATACCATACCATACCATACCATACCATACCATACCATACCATACCATACCATATACCATACCATACCATACCATACCATACCTTTCCACTGATCACAATGGGACTTACTTCCCAATAAACATGACTAGGACTGCAGTGTGGAAGTACTTAAAAACAGATCTAGTCAGAGAAAAAAAGTATGTTTGTGAGGACTAATAACTTCTGAAAACTCAATACCTGCATTTACTCAAATCCCACCTTTAAATTCTGCTTATAGAATTTGTCTTTGTCTTCACTGGCAACTGAAAGTTGAGAGCTGAAAATAAGTAAAGTGGCTTACATAAGAAACACATATTTTAAATCAACACCGCCCAATTGGTAGTGGGGCTTTAAGACATAACAGAACCAAGCAGGGCTCCTCACTTCTTACTGGCATTGCCAAAGTAGACTGAAGTGCCAGGGCGTCTGCAAGGCAGGGATTAAAAAAATGCCAAGAGGCACAATAAAAGGGAGGATGGTTTCAATTGCACAGTTGTGGCCACCATCTTAATGTTTCAACCTCCTCTGCAGATGCCCCCTGCTGAACTTCCAAGCTTGATGAGATGGCTCACGGGGTCAACTGCTTTCCCCCCAAGTAATTCTATTCCTGTCCACCAGCAGCACACAGCCACCAATATCCCTGTGATAAAGGGAAGAAGCCAGAAGATCTCAGAGGGTGTCAGTTCCTGGATTATTTTTCCCTACAAAGTAAAAACAGCAACAACAATCCATGGTGCCCCATTCGGGATTGGGGCTGCCCTGCATGGAATTGTTTTCTGCCTGTTTTACTTCCTTTGAGGCAGTGGGGTACATCTGCCTGAATGTAAAAGCAACACTGTTGAGATCCCAGCCCTGGTTTTCTGGAGCTGGTCAAGGACCATCTCTGTCTGCCAGCTGGATGAAAAGGTTCATCCTCTGGTGACTCTCTTCTCTTTGTTTCAATGATGCAGCTGAAGGGGGAGCTAATTTACCCCTATTAGAGTTTTGGGGCTACTACAACTACATGACTGTAAATTGCAGGAAGTCTTTGGATTCTGCCAGTGTAGAAATGAAATAAATATACAATTAATAACTCCTTCTACCCCTCACTTCCCTGGTATGGCAGTCCATAGGGCACACTAACCTTGCCCTTTGACTCAGTTTCAGTGTGTTAGGAGTTGCTTTTCCACTGGCAAACCAGCCTTGCAGCTCAGTTAAAAAGCTCACCCGCTTGCCTTGGGCAAGCAGATACAATACTGGCTTTCCTGCCATCAATCTTGTTTTCTGTCATTCCCAGGACACAGCAAGGCTCAATGGGATTTTTTTAGCACCTCTACCATATACAATACTGACTGCATTAGCCACAATCAACCCAGTTGTAATTACCTTAAATCATCTTGACTTGAACACAGGAAAACTGATTAAAATATTAAGAAAGTGATCTGGGTCTGTGCTACAGTGAAAGCAGTTTCTACATCTGGTTCTTACTCTGTACTGACTATATCATTTTTAAATAAAGGTGCGGATTAAAATGACAGGCAGTGATTCCATACTTAACTTTCTCAGAGTAAGAGCCATTGAACCAAGCAAAATTAACTTCTGAGTAGGAAGGGGCTACTGCACAGTGAATATCCCTTAATGAAGAAATATTTATTTGCCCAAGTATCTGCCTGCACATGAAATAACTAGGTAGGTAAAGAACCTACTAGTAGTTTGCATGTAAAGCAGTGGTTCTCAATCTCAGTAACTTTAAGATGTTTGGACTTCAAATCCCAGAATTCTCCAGCTAGCATGCTGGCTGGGGCATTCTGGGAGTTGTAGTCCACACACCTTCAAGTTGCTGAGATTGAGAAACACTGATGTAAAGATGAAGCTATGCACATGTGTCTTCCCTTCCTTTAGCTTCTAAAGAATTGGCTAGCAGAATGCATGGTAGCACTGAGTGGCAGAGCTACTCTGCATGAACACATTCCTTCAACCTGTGAGGTGCTTTGAGTGAACATTATGAGTGGCACCAAACTGCTTTTCCCTCTGGAAAAAAAAAAGGGAGGGAGATTTCAAGCAACACATACAAATAAAATTTTGGGAGAAAATATTTTTTCTGCTCATGGGCTTCAAAGTATTTGACGCCATCTGGAATTAAGGCCTGAACTTCTGAATTGCTATGGAATTGGATTAAAAAACATATGATCTCATCATCACATCTCCGTACCAACTCATCAGATGTAACACAGAATTGGAAACAAAACTAAGGCTTTTTAAAAAGAAGGATGTGTAAAACTAAGGGGGGATCCACCCTCTTGCTTTTTTCCCCATTTATATATCATTGATCATCCAGGCAGATGTTGGAACAAGGCTGTTTCTAAATGACTCAAATATTAACTGTTTGCTATATACAGATGTTTTGGTCCTGTTACAGGAACAGGCAACAGCCCAGGGTTTGGAGGTGGTGTCATTTCAGGCCTTGGGGATTTACCTTGTGATTTCATGAAACAGCTTTTTCATCCCAAGGTCACTTCCCAGGGTGCACGTCAGCCACTTTCTCCCATTCAAGTTGAGCCATTGCCAATGAATTGTTTGTAAATAGCAACAGGCACTCTGGCAAAATTCTCTTGTTATGTTTCTTACTTGTTGACTCCCATATGCAAGCAAAACTATAGGAGTGGAGACTTTTAATTATTGTTACTTGCAGTGGGAAGAAGAGGGTGAAAAAGAGTTTATTTCTTTTATGGCTCTTCCAGAGCTAATGGGGAGAACCAATGTTGATATCATTCAGGGGCACCTCTTTGTGGGGGGAATAAAAAAAAAATCAAGATGGAGGCCACAACCACAGAGTTGAAGCTCTCCCTGTTTTGTTTTGTTTTGAAATATGTATTGCACCTAAAAAGGGACTTCAATCTCACAGGCACCATCTTGATTAATTTTATCAAACTCCCCCCCTCTCAGCC